GAGCAGTGCCAGACAATGGTAAAGAGCCAGAGGGCAAATGTTTTAGACGACATGGGTGGCAACCAGGAGACAGCATCTTGCAGTGTGACGCCTGGCTCTGCTGCCTGCTCAGCTTTTCCCTGCATCTCCTCCACCCGATTCAAGAAGGTCCTGCAAGGACAGCCCAATTGTCAAGAACTCGCTCCTAGAATTCCTACCCATCGGGGTTCAACACCCCGAGGAGGAAGAGACTGGCCAGAATCTTACATCCGGTCCAGCCAGGCCACCATCACCTGCTCCCTGTCCCACTTTGTTCCACCATCCCTCTCTCCTCCCAGGCCGTCAGCATCTCCCCCGGTCTCTAGGGAGAGGACATGCAAACCTTCAGGTCCACCGGGTAGCACTTTTCCTTCACGTGATGCCACCCATAGCAGATCTTTCTTGGGGGCTTTCTTTTGGTGCTAAGGATGGAACCCAGGGCCGTGAATGTGCTAAGCACGCACATTACACCCCCAGCCCCAGATCCATTTTACATTACTGTCTTTGCGTGTCTGTAGCCTTCACAGGCTCAGTCACCTCTTTTGGAAGCTCCTTTACCTCAGTGTGGACCATACAAGTTCAATTCTGCAGTCAGAATACGTACAAATGCACACGGCTGTGTTACCACAAAACTTTATTTATAAACACAGGCAACAGGCTGGATTGTCGAGCCCTGTTGTAGATTACAGGATGCCAAAAAGGCATGATAATCAAATATAGTACGTTTGACACTGGATTAAAAATAATAACAAACTGCTGAAAAGGACATTAGGGGCTGGGGGCATGGTTCAAGTGGTGGAGTGCTTGCCTAGCAACCATAAAGCCCCGGTTCAATCCCAGTGTGGCCAAATAAAGGAAAAAAATTATTGGTATCTATGCTGCATTTCTCAGGAGGAGTGGCTCAAGTGGTAGAGGGCCTGCCTAGTAAGCATGAGGCCCTGAGTTCAAACCGCAGTACTGCAAATGTTATATTTCTTAGGTGTGATGTTGGTGCTGTGTCACATAGGAGAATGTCTTTGTTCTTAGGAGGTGACAGCAGAAATATCAGGAGTGAAGTGTTACCTCCTTGACTTCTTTTCAAATAGTTGACGGGGGGAGAATGTGTGTGCATACACAGAAACACATCTCTAAGACCAAAAATAGCAACTTGGCTGAAGATGAACAACGGGTGAAGTGGGTGGTTGAGGAACATAAGGAATGACGACACTATGAACTTTTCTGAGGGTTTACAATTTAAAAAAATAAGTTAGTGTAACACTATCTCTAGAACCTGATCCTCCTCCCCATCCCCCTCAACTCTTACCTGGACTAAATCCTCCTCCCAGCATCCACCCTCACCCTAGTATCAACAAAAGGATCTACTAAAATATAACCCAGAGCCAGACACAGTGGTGCCCGCCTCTGATCCAAGCACATGGGAGGCTGAGGCAGGAGGATCACAAGTCCCAAGTATTCTGGGCTATATAGTGAGAGCTGCCTCAACACTCATCCCTGCCTAATATGCGTCACGCTGGGCTCTATCACAGTGGTACAGAGAATGCACAATGCCCTGGGTTTGATCCTGTATGCCACACTGAACATTTTTTTTAATTAAAAAAATATATGGCCGAAGCTATGTGCCAGTGGCTCACGCCTGTAGTCCTAGCTACTCAGGAGGCAACGATCAGGAAGATCCAGGTTAAAAGCCAGCATGGGTAAATTGCACTCAACCAATTACCTTGAAAAAAAAAATCCATCATAAAAAAGGGCAGGTGGCACCCATGTTTATTGAGGCACTATTCACAATAGCCAAGTTATGGAAACAGCCAAGATGCCCCACTACTGACAAATGGATTAAGAAAATGTGGTATCTATACACAATGGAATTTTATGCAGCCGTGAAGAAGAACAAAATGGTATCATTCTCTGGTAAATGGATGGAATTGGAGAACATCATTCTGAGTGAGGTTAGCCTGGCCCAAAAGACCAGAAATTGTATGTTCTCCCTCATATGTGGACATTAGATCAAGGGCAAACACAACAATGGGATTGGACTTTGAGCACATGATAAAAGCGAAAGCACACAAGGGAGGGGTGAGGATAGGTAAGACACCTAAAAAACTAGCTAGCTTTTGTTGCCCTTAACGCAGAGAAACTAAAGCAGATACCTTAAAAGCAACTGAGGCCAATAGGAAAAGGGGACCAGGAACTAGAGAAAAGGTTAGATCAAAAAGAATTAACCTAGAAGGTAACACCCACGCACAGGAAATCAATGTGAGCCAATGCCCTGTATAGCTATCCTTATCTCAACCAGCAAAAACCCTTGTTCCTTCCTATTATTGCTTATACTCTCTCTACAACAAAATTAAAAATAAGGGCAAAATAGTTTCTGCTGGGTATTGAGGGGGTGGGGGAGAGAGAGGGGGCGGAGTGGGTGGTAAGGGAGGGGGTGGGGGCAGGGGGGAGAAATGACCCAACCCTTGTATGCACATATGAATAATAAAATGAAAAATAAAATAAAATAAAATAAAAAAGGGCAGGTGGAATGGCTCAAGGTGCAGGCCCTGAGTTCAAATCCTAGCAACACACACACACACACACACACACACACACAAAATGTATATAAAACTCAGATCCAGTCCCTTGTGTGCACAGAACCCTCCAGTGAGTCCTGTCCCACTCAGAGTACAGCGAAAGCATGTGCAATGGCCCAAAGGCCCTGCAGGAACTGCCCCCACAACCCCACTCCCCATCACCATCACGTTCCTTCGTAAATGCGCTAGGCACACTCCTACCTCAGGCTTTTGCGTGTATAGATCCTTCAAGCTGGGACGTTCTTCCTCTAGGTTCCGACTTGCTCCTTCCCTCCTTTCCTATCTCAACTTCCAACCTTATTCCAAATATCCCTCTTTCTACATCCTTCATTTTTTTCCAGAGCAATTACTGCTACCTAATATGCTTCATATTTTAGATACTCACTTACCACTTTACATCCACACAATCCTCACAATGACAGTATTATTCATAGCATAAATGCGGAGTAGGGCTGGGGGTGTGGCTCAGAGGTACAGTGCTTGCCTAGCATGGACAAACGCCCTGAGCATCCCCAGCACTGGAAAAAAAAAAGCAAAGTATATAAAATGAGAATAACAGCATGTACCTAATAATAATTTGTGAGGATTCCATAGCCTAAGCGCTAGGAAGTACACAGCCTGGTACAAGTGCCCAAGAAATGTGGCGATTATTTAATGCCCATGTACAGAAATGGGCACTGAGGCTCAGAGGAGTTAAGTGATCTGCACAAAGTTACCAGCCTGAGAAGGGAGGGGCTGAATCCAGCCAGTTTGATTCCAAAAGTCATTTTCTAAAACCACAATGCTCCATGTCTCAGTGCTTAGAAGAAAGGCAGTGGTAGGAAACAGACAAGCCTGGGAGTCCAGAGTCCAAGTGCCACCTCTGGTACAGCCTGGGTGACCACATCAATGCACTCTGGCCCTCAGGACCTCAGTTTTTCCTTCTGTAAACTTGAGGGAATCACCCCCCTTTCTGACACAGTGACAAAGCAGCTATAAGGGTCAAAAGATCTGATATGAAAGTGCTTTTGTTATTACAAAAGTCAATACTTTCCCATCTGCAGCCCTGGCTGAGACCCCAGGAAACACCAAAGGTTCTAGAATCCTCGAACTATAAAAGTTTAAGGGAGGGCTGATGGCTTACACCTGTAATCCTAGCTACTCAGGAGGCAGAGATCAGGAGGATCGCGATTCAAAGCCAGCCCAGGCAAATAGTCCACGAGACCCTATCTCAAAAAAAACGTATCCCAAAAATAGGGCTGGTGGCTCAAGATGGAGGCCCTGAGTTCAAACCCCAGTGCTTAAAAAAAAAAAAAAAAAGTTTGCCTAAGGGCGGGCTGGTGGAGTGGCTCAAGTGATAAGAGTGCCTTACCAGCAGGCCAGAAACCCTGAGTTCAATCCCCCCACCCTAAAAAAAATGTTTAAGGGAGAAAAGTGGTCCCTCTCCCTGAACTCCATGCCAGGACAAGTGTCCAGTGGGCTCCCCAATCCCACCTAGGTTGTCACTGCTCCGGGACAGGTCTGTCCTCACTCCTTGAGGGAACACACTGGGACTGGCTTGGACCTTGCTGTTTCACAAACACAGGGCCTGGCATACACAAGGGAAATGGAGCCACCCCAGCAAGTTGCACCCCAGGCCTACAGCACACAGATAATCTTTTTAAAGCAGCTCATAGTTTGAGCGCTCACGATGCGATCCCCTCGGCAGCTTTCCTGACTCCACGCCGGTGGGTCTGAACTCCAGGGCTGCCACCGCCCTGACCACTCTGGGATGACACCGACGGATCAGGATGTATTCTGATCCCAGTGGCCCCGCAAAAGGCCTGCACAGTCGGTGTACCCAATGAATGCATGGTATAGGAATGAGAAAATAGATATAGGGTGAATGTCCACTCTGGTATAAATCCCCCTTTTGCTAGATCCCACGACTACGGCCGCGAGTGATACTAGGGAACACGCGAGTTCTAAACGCGGGACATACAAGCACCTCCTACTTCCCAGGGCAGGAGGGAAACTGAGGAAAGGGATGAAGTTTTGGGAGTAAAACTACCCAAGGATGGCTTGGCAAAGTACCCCAGTGGGTTTCTCCTCAGTCCCGCCTCTGGCTCGTCTCAGTCCTGGAAAGCCCTGCCTGAATTTCTCCCATTTCCCACACTATTGGCTCATCTGGACGTCAGTCTCCACAAACTCTCTTCCCCTATTGGCTGGCATTCACAAATCGCGTGGAGAGCCCCTGCCCCGCCCCTTACCCCACGCCCGTCCTCGCTATTAGGTTACCCACATGCCTCTCTCTCCCAGGGACCCTGCCTATTGGCTATAGTCCTTAGCCGGTTCGGGCTGTGATTGGTCACGGACAAAAGTCCATCCCCTAAGCAACCACCTGAGACGGGTTGGAGAATGGAAAGGTTGGAGGGACGCGGGGTCACTCACGCTGAGCCGGCGGAAGGCAGATATAGGTCTTGAAGAACTCGCTCCGGCGAGCAGCGTCCTTAATGCGGTTGGCAAGCGGCTTGCTGACCTGCGGATGCCCAAGTACAACAGCTTCGCCATCGGGAACGCGCCCACTACCATCTTGGCTGTCGTACGGAGCACGCGCAACCTTACTGACTGGGCGGGGCGCCTCCGACCTCACTACTCCCCCGCCCGCTTGTGGGCCGTGCGTGCTTACGTACGTGCGTGCACCCGCTCGAGAGTAACTGCAGGGGCGCACTCGACGTCACTGCATCACGCTGGTGTGTCGACGCCTCTTCGCTGAATATGCAAATATGCGGCGGAAGCGAGGCGGGCAGTGGGCGGTGCCGTTAAACGGTTGCTGCGGGAGCGTGACGTCACCACGCTCCTGCGTGATGTCAAGCCCAGAGTCTACTTCCCCGCCCAAAGGAGGCTCTTAATTAGTCCTAATTAGGTCTAATGAGTCCCAGACCTTCTTCCGTAGTTGAGAGCTTTCACTGGGAAAAAGAGAAGAGATTGGCTATGTAGTCACTTACAGATCTTGGGATTCCAACTCCACATTTACTCGCTGTGTGATCTTGGACAAGTGTCTCAACCTCTCTGGACATCCGTATTCCTGTTTAGGAAACACTAATTAATAGTACTTGCCTTATTAGGTTGTTGTGAGCTTTGTATGTGGGTGTGAATTTTATTTATTTTTTGCGGTGCTAGGAATGGGCCTGTGCCCACCAAGCTACACCCCAGCCTGTGTATGCATCTTGAGTGTGGTCGCAACAGTGATTGTGTTAAGTGCTGGGAAGGGTGTCAGTCACAGCACTCAGTCATCAGCCCTTCTTGCTCTATGCCGTGAGCGTTGCCGTTGCCCAGCGCTGTCCGGTTGCCCAGCGCTGTCCGGGGCATGCACTTCACCTCCAGAAGCAGGGAGCCGAATCCAGCCATTTTTCAAGTGATCAACAGAGTCTGAGGCCCAGAGACAGGCCGGGGCCGACACAAGTGTCCTCAGCCTGCAGAAGTTGAGAGCCTGGAGTCCTGGCTAATAAAACCCATTCTCAAGCAGCCTACTTCCTGCTTTAGAGGGTGACGGTCCCCAGGGAGCTGGTGCAGGAAGAAATTTAAGGACATGTCCCAGACTGTCCTCCCTTCCTCAGCGGGGAGCAAAGTCATATAAACAAAGTCAGAATGGGGTTGAGAGAAATTCCTGGATGGTGGGAGAGCTGGTGGGTAGATGAGAGATTGAAAGCAAGGCAGAGGGATGGGAAGGCAGAGGAGTGGTAGATGGAAGGACACACTTGGAACAGAGTCAGGGGACCCCGGGTTTTCTTCACCCACCAACTCCCCAAAAGTCCTTGGTTAAGCCCCCAGCACCAAGGGACCTGCAGGATATCAGAGGTCCTCTGTAAAGATGGTAACTGGGCATGGAGGTACCCACCTGTAATCCCAGCACTCTGGAGACTGAGGCAGACAGATCGCAAGTTCCAGGCCAGCCTGAGCTACATGGTGAGACCCTGTCTCAAAAAACAAAAACAAAACAATAATAATAATAATAATAATAATAATAATAAAAGATGGTGCTGGCGTGTGTCAACCCAGCTAAAATTGCCAAAATTACCAAAAAAATGCAAGAGTCCATAAAAACAAACCTTCCCAGAGTTCCATCTGGACTGAAGGTATGAGGAAGCCCCAGCTTACTTAAGGTCCCTTACCCTCTTCCCATTTTACAGGCTGGTCAACTGAGACCAGAGGAAGGGAAGGACTTGCCCAAATCTCCAGAGGTAACGGAGTGGGCTGAGGCTGGGATTTCTTCAGTCACTGCCTAGGGTTTTCTTCTCATCTCTGGGGCTTTTACCCTGGGGGTCAAGAACCTGCAAGAGGGCTGAGGATCCCCATGATAGAAGCTCGTAAACTCATGCATGACTCTTTTCTGAATAACCCAGTATTCCTTAACTCTTAGAACTGTGCCCGGCATACAGTAACATAAAATGTTTTTCATTTAGTGGAAATTTAACTCAGGGCCTCGCACATGTTAGGCAGGCACTCTACCGCTTGAAACTTAACCCTCAGCCCTTTTGTGTGTATTTTGTTATTGAGACAGGTTCTCTAACTTTGCCCAGGCTGGCTTCAAACTGGCCTCAAACTCCTATCTCTGCCTCCTGAGTAGCTGGGATTATAGGTGTTAGCCACTGTACCTGGCTTTAAAGAAATTTTTATTAAATGAATGGGAATGAACACCTTTGGGAGGGGTTAGCGTCCAGGGTTCCACCTGGTCCTGCATTCAACAGAAGCCTTATTGTGGTGGGACAAGTGGGGTGACCTCCCAGATCCCAGGCATCACAGGTGGAGCCTGCCTGTAATCCCTGTTACTTGGGAGGCAGAGACAAGACGATCATGAGACTCTATCCCAAAAACAAGAGCTGGGGACAAGGCTCCAGTGGTAGGGTGCTTGCCTTGCATGCCCAAGGCTCTGGGTTCAATTCCCAGTACCACAAATACCACAAAAAGAACTCCCCCCAAAACTAGGTGCTTCCTTGCACTCTGCTGCCTGGTTATAGAACAGCCACCATTCCTACTGACCCCTGAGGCCTGGGGCGTGGGAATAGACACAGAGCTGAGGAGCAGAGAGGGAGCCCAGAGTGGCGCTGGCACTGACTCACCAACCGTGAGACCTTGGACCCGTGACCTGGCCTCTCTAGTGACTGCATTGAATGAGGCCTTGGCTCATTCCCAGAGGCCCTTCCGCTCAGGCCCCCTGGGTACCCTTTTCCCAGAATGGGTGAGGGGCTCATGTTACACAATCCCACAGGCCCCAATGAGGTCTTTCTTCAAAATAAATCCTGAAAGCCGGGCGCCAGTAGCTCATGCCTATAATCCTAGCTACTCAGGAGGCAGAGATCAGGAGGATCACAGTTCGAAGCCAGTCCAGGCAAATAGTTCACGAGACCCTATCTCGAAAAAATATTCACAAAAAATGGCTGGTGGAGTGGCTCAAGGTATAGACCCTGAGTTCAAACCCCAGTACCAGAAAAAAATAAATAACATTTAAAATCCTGAAGCTGACTGCTGTTCCTTGCTCACTCCACTACCTGCACCCCAGTCCAGCACCAACTTCTCCTGCCTAGACATTTGAACTCACCTCCTCACTTCACCTCCCACATTCTGTTCACTCAGCAGCCGCTGGGATCCTGTTAACGCTGAAGTTAAATCCCATCAGTCCTCTGCTGAGAGGCCCCTCACAGCTCCTGTTATCTCAGAATAAAAGGCAAAGTCCTCACAGAGACTTACGTGGCCCCAAATCATCTGCCTGTGTCCCCTGTCCAGTCTCATCCCAAGCCCTTTGCACTTGCTATGCCCTCCTCCTGGATAGTCTCCACACAAGTCACAGGGCTGACCTCCTCAGCTCCTTCAGGTGTTTGCTCCTAAACCACCTCAGTGAGCACTTTCTTCCCTGTCCTCTTTGTGTAAAGTGATTCCAGGTCACTCCCTGTCCCTCAAATGTCTTTATTTTCTCCTTTCCATTTGGTAATTCCACACATAATATTTATTTAATTGTTGTTGGTTTTATTTCTTTTTTTTCGGTACTGGGATTTGAACTCAGGGCCTTCACCTTGAGCCACTCCACCAGCACTTTTTGTGTGAAGGCTTTTTCGAGATAGGGTCTCACGAACTATTTGGCTTTGAACCTGATCTTCCTGATCTCTGCTTCCTGAGCAGCTGGGATTACAGGTGTGAGCAACTAGCACCCTGCTTCATTTTTGTTGGTTTTCAAGATAGGGTTTTACTATATCTGCCAATTTGGTCTCAAATTCACAGCCTCCAGTGATCTTTTTATTTCAGCTTCCCCAATAACTTGGAGTACAGAAACCATCATGCCTTGCATTTTTTTTAACTTGTTTATCCTGACCCTCCTCATCCTCTGTCCTGACTTGCAGAATGCTGTTTATCAGCAATCTTAGAATTGCCCTGTCTTGTACTCTCTCTCCCACATGACCAGGGGCATACAGGATGACTCTCTACACTCAGTGACTTTCTCTTCCCACCTTCCCATTGACTTGAAGACTCTTATTAACTTGTTGGAAAATATCCTTTCTTCTCTCTCTCTCTCTTCTCTCTCTCTCTCTCTGTCTCTCTCTCTGTCTCTCTCAATCTGGTGGTATTGGGGCTTGAACCCAGGGCCTCACACTTGCTGGGCAGGCACTCTACTACTTGAGCCATTCCACCAGCCCTTTTTTATGTTGGGTATTTTTTGCCAGGCTGGCTTTGTAACCTTGATGATTACAGGCATGAATCACCAGTACCCAGCAACTTTCTCTTTTTGTCTTTATCTTTTGGAAACCAAACGTTTGACTTAACTTTCTCATTCCCCTCCTTCCAGGAAGCCCTCCATGACCCCCAAATTGTGTCAGGGTCTGGGAACTCATGAGAACACAGTCACTACTGTGTCACTAACTGCCCAGCATAAGGATGGGAACAGTTAAAGTGAATTGTTAGAGCTAAGCATGGTAGTACACACCTGTCATCTCATCCCTTGGGAGGCTGAAGCAGGAGGATGGAGAGTTGGAGGCCTGGGCTGGGGTATGGCTCAAGTGATAGAACATCTGAACAAGTGTAAGGCTCTGATTTCAAATCCCAGCACTGTAAAGAGAGAGAGGGAGAGATAGAGATAGATAGAGAGAGAGAGAGAGAGAGAGAGAGAGTAATTGAGGCCAGCATGGGCAACAAAGTGAGACAGTCTCAAAGAACCAAAAATAAGGTGGGCAGTGACGGCTCACACCTTATTTAGGAGACTGAGATCAGGAGGATAGTGGTTCAAGGCCAGCCTGGACAAAAAGTTCTCAAGGTCCCATCTCAAAAGAAAAAAAGCTGGCTGGGCACCAGTGGCTCACGCCTGTAATCCTAGCTATTCAGGAGACAGAGATCAGGAAGATGGTGATTTGAAGCCAGCTTGGGCAGTTTGCGAGACCCTATCCCCAAAATATCCAACACAAACAAAAAAAGTGGCAGACTGGCTTAAGTTGTAGAGCACCTGCCTAGCTAAGCAGCAAGCATGAAGCCCTGAGTTCAAACCCCGGTGCCACAAAAAAAATAAAAGCAGAGTGTGGTGGTAGGTTCCTGTTATCCCAGCGACAATGGGAAGGAAAAATGGGAGGATTAAAGTCCAAGTTGACCTGGGCAAAAAAGCAAGACCCTGTCTCCAAAATACCCAGATCAAAAAAGGGCTGGGGGGCATGGCTCAAACAGTGAAGCACTTGCCTCCCAAGTGCAAAGCCCTGAGTTAGAACCTCAGTACTGCCAAAAAAATTTTTTTTCTTTTTTAAAAAAGTGAGTTGTTAGCGGGTCGTGGTGGAGAAGGACCCCTTTGAATGGCGCCACACCAACCTCTTTTCTTTCCTTGTATTCTTAGGAGTATTAACACAGCCTTATTTACATGTAATTTGCACACACCAGCCAAGGGGGCGGGCCTCCAAGACGGGGAGCCCTCGCACCAGCCACTTTCACTGGGCGGGCAGCAGCGTCTTCAGCTGCACCTGGTCCCCCTGGGGGGGCGGGGCCGCCACCCACCCGGCCGCCAAGGCTTTAGCCACGCTGCTCTTCTTGGAGGTGAGCGGGGTGTCCAGGGTGAGCGAGGCATTGGCCATCTCCTGGGGCTTGTTGCTGGCCAGGAAGCGCCGGAGGTTATGCAAGGCCTTGGCCACGTCGCTGCGGGCGCCCTCGTTGACCAGACAGTACAGGATGGGGTCAGCCACACAGTTGAGACTGGTGAAGGCCAACGAGCTATGGTAGGCGGAGAAGACGCGTTCCTCAAAGCCACAGTCCCAGGGGCGACCCAGGTAGACAGCGCTGCGCGACAGCAGGAGCACGTGGTAGGGCGCAAAGCAGACCAGCACGATGGCGATGAGACTCAGGGCCAGCCGCTTGATCTTGGCCTTCTCCTGGCGCTCGGTGGACACACTGCACCGCACGGCGCGCAGGATGCCCCGGTAGGACAGCAGCATCAGCGCCCAGGGAAAGAGGAACCCCACAAAGACCCGGTACAGGTTCATCCAGGCCACCCAGCCCTCCATGGGAAACTTCTCAAAGCAGAAGGTGTGGTTGTAGCGATCGCGGAAGAGCTCATCGTGGAAAAGAGGAGCCGAGTTAGCGCCCAGCTCGGTGGCCCAGACCACGGAGCTCACGGCCACGGCCGTCTTGACACGGCGCAGGCGCGCAAAGCGCAGCGGATGCGCCACGGCCAGGTAGCGGTCCACGGAGATGCAGCAGAGGAAGGCGATGCTGATGTAGATGTTGGTGTAGAAGACGAAGCCGAACAGCTTGCAGGAGCCAGGTCCGTGGATCCAGTTATCATGGTGCAGGAAGTAGTCCACCCACAGCGGCAGCGTGCAGATGTACAGCAGGTCGGCGATGCTCAAGTTCATCAGGTAGACCCCCAGCTCGTTGCGCTGGCGCACCTGGCGATAGGCCGCCCACAGGGCCAGGCAGTTGGTGGGCAGCCCCAATCCGATGACGAAGATGTAGAGGAACGGTGGGAACAGGTGGTCCACCCGCGAGTCCACGTGGCAGCCCTCCCACGTGCGGTTGCCCATCCTGGGCACAGTGCTTCCCCTGGCCCACGGGGGCTGCGGGGCCACGGGGGGCGGGAGGCCATCGGGCCCCCTGAGCCCCCTCCTCGGAGGCTCAGGGTAACATGGCAGGAGATGAGGTTGAGAGGAACCGTGGGGTGGGCCCAGCAGGGAAAGGGTGGAGGGGCTTGAGAGGGAGTGGGGAGAGGAGGGACACAGGTAGGACAAGAGGGAGATTTGGGGACAGGGGGATTAGGAGGTGTAGCAAAGGGGTGTTTGGAGAATCAGGACATAAATAAGAGAGGATGCGGTGTCAGAAAGATTGGGGGAGGGGAGTGTTTATGGGACAGATGAAGTCGTTGGTGGATGTGATTAATAGGGTGATGTTTATATAGAATCTGGGAAATAATTGTGGCCAATGTTGAAGTATTGGTGGGATGGAATGTTCTAGAAGGCAGGGCAATACACAGCAGGGAGGTAGGACAGATGGAGAGCTGGGAAGGTGAGGCAATGAAGGCAGGAGTGGTGGTATTCACCAGGACCCCAGCAGGAGATGATGGAGAAGGAGGTGTCCTGTGGGGATAGACAGGGGAAGGGCTGCTGGGAGACTGGATGGAGGTGAGGAAGAGAGGCATCCACCCGAGGGGGAATGGAGGAGGAAGGGGCAATTGGAAGGGTGCAGGGGAGGGACTCAGGTTTGGTCCTCTCAGAGTCTGAGGGGCTGGGATGAAGTGGTTCCAGCTCACAACCCCGTTCAAAACTGGGCCTGTGTGGAGAGAGGACAGAGGTGAGACAGGCGAGGCCCTCCCCACCCTTCTCTCCTCACACCCTTCCCTGATGCAGGGCAGTGACCCACCTGAAACAACAGATCTGTGAGAACACAGGCTGAGGGACCAGGTATCTTTTTTTTTTTTTTCCTAAATAGATGTTAAAGACGAAACACAAATCTTATTTATTTATTTCTGTGGTACTGGGGATGGAACCCAGGGCCTTGCCTATGCTAGGCAAGCGCTCTGCCACTTGAGCCACACCCCCAGTCCTTTTATTTTTATTTGGTTTTTGAGACAGGGTGTGGTTAACTTTGTCCAGGCTGGCCTTGAACTTGCCATCCTCCTGCCTCTGCCTCCCAAGTAGCAGGGATTACAGACTCTACCACGCCTGGCCCAACGGAAATTTTAGAACTTTCTCCTGGAGACTAGAATGGACACAAGTACCATAACGTCCTTCGGGAAGTACTGAGGTGGTCTAACCCTATCACTTCATAGGCAGGAGAAAGGGCCCAGAGAGGGGGAGTCTGGGTCACCCCCTCCCAAGGATGCACAGCAAGGGAAAGATGGAATTAGAGTTAGGACCATTCTCCCACCCCTAACCAGGTCATCCCTCCATCTCCTTCTTCCTCTTTCTCTCTCCCTCCCTCCCCAGTTTTATTTTTAATTAGCACAAAATTATACATACTTATGGGGTATAGTATCAGAGTACCCTAATCTTTTTTGGCAGTACTAGGGTTTGAACTGTGAGTCTTTCAAGCACTCTACCCATTGAGCCACGCCTATAGCCCTTTTTGCTTTAGTTATTTTTCAGACAGGGTCTTGCACTTTTTTGCCCAGGATACCCTCAGACTGCAATCCTCCTACCTCCACCTTCCATGTAGCTAGGATTACAGCTTTATGCCACCATGTCCAGCCTATTCTTTGATATGGGGTCTCTGTAACTTCTTGCCTGGGCTGGCCTCAAACTGTGATCTTCTTATCTCCATCTCCTGAGTAGCTGGGATTAATGCTTTTGCCCAAACTGGCCTGGACATGGATTCTCCTACCTCCCATATAGCTGAGATTACAGAGTGTTCTACCACATACAACTTTTTCTTTCAGATACAGTCCCACTAAGGTTTTGCTCCTGTTGGCTACAAACCACAGTCCTCCTGTCTCTGCCTCCCAAGTAGCTGGGATTATAGGTGTGAGCCACCACACCTGGTGAAACCCTTTTTCTTTCCAAAACCAGACTTCACCAGAAACCCAATCTACAACAGCAAGAGGACAAACTGTTCTGTGCTCTGAATGACATGAGGTAGAGATAGAGAGGCCACCTCCCAAGAATCCCCCAGATGTACTTTGAAAACCACTGGTTGAGTCTATTGGACAGACAAGGGAAACTGAGGCCCACAGAGGGCAAGGGATGAGCCCAAAGTCACACAGCAGGTCTCTGGGAACTTCCCTGATGCCTCAGCCTCTTTCCGTGAGAAAGTTCTCCCTCTCCACCTCCAGATGAACTCTGGATCCAGACATGGTTCTCTGGAAGCCCTGCCAGCCCTGGGCCTCCATCATCACTCACTCAGATGCTTACAGGACACCACCACTGCTTTCCTGAAGACACTCCATCTCCCTTCGCCTTGCGTTCTGCGTAGCAGCCACAAAGATCTTTCTAGCACAGAAATTGTCTCTTGTTATTTCTCTGCTGAAATTCTCTATTGACTTCCAAAACGGACTTGCCGGAAAAATCCAAATTCCTGACCCTGTACGGGGTTTAAACTCAGGGCCTTCACCTTGAGCCACTCCACCAGCCCTTTTTTTTGTGATCGGTTTTTTCAAGATAGGGTCTCTCAGAGCTATTTGCCCTGCCGACTTCAAATTGAGATCCTCCTGATGTTTGCCTCCTGAGTAGCTAGGATTAAGGTGTGAGCCACCAGCACTACTCAGGAGGCAGAGATGGAAGAATAGTGGTTTGAGGCCATCCTGGACAAAAAGTTTGAGAGACCCCCAACTCAACCAAGAGTTGGGCATGGTGGTGTGCACCTGTCATCCCAGCTACACAGGAGGCATAAATAGGAGGATTGAAGATCAAGGCCAGCCCTGCACAAAATAGGACTTCCTATGTAAAAAATAGTGCAAGTATGAGCAAGTACTAGACCCCAAGTTCGAAACACACACACACACACACAAACCCTTCGGCTGGGGGAGTGGTTCAAGTGGTAGAGCACCTCCTGGCAAGTGTGAGACCCAGTGCCACCAAAAAAAAAAAAATTAAAAATCCATTCTCCCCTCTGCCTGGTCTGTACTCCCTCCAGCTACCTCCCACCTCTTCACCCCTTCCGTGGGTCCCTCTTCACCAGTCCCCACCACCCCTAGGACCCTGTCCTTGCATTACCTTGTGCCTGGTTGGTTTCTGTCTATTTATCTAGAATAGATGTTCCAGGACAGCAAGGACTTTGTGTGTCTTGCTGACTGTCCTTTTGGTAGTATGGGGACCAGCCCAGCGTACAGTACTTGCTCAATAAGTAAGTGACAGTGCACAGAACTCATTCCAGAAGCATCCAGAAGCCGCCAGTAGGAACACTGCTCTGGTCTGCCCACTTCCCACCATGTGTCCCACTCCCTGTGAGGCTGCACCCCAGGATCAGACAAGTCCAGCAGAGGCCCAGGGAAAGAGGTGGCAGCAGGGCATGAAAAGGGCAGGAACCATCCTCTAGGCTTTATAATTGACTTGGAAAGGTCAGGGCTGACGCCTGTAAACCTGGCTATTTAGAAGGCTGAGATCAGGAGGATTGAGGTTGGAGACCAGCTGGAGCAAATGGTTCTCGAGACACCCATCTCCAAAATAACCAGAGCAAAATGAACTGGAGGTGTGGCTCAAGCTTTGCAAGAGGGAATCCCTGAGTTCAAACCCCAGTACCACCAAAAAAGAAAAAAGGAAAAAAAGAAAGGTCAGGGTTGAGTTCTGCCTGATACTTCCTGCCCCCTCAGGGGTCCTAGGACAGCTGCTGTCCCCAATCCTGACTCCCAGAGGCTTCTGGGTCCTATGGAGATTGGATGGGTGGGGCTTGTACCTGGCTAGATCTGTGGCACCCTTCCTCAGTGTAAAGAGGACTGCCACAATCAAGTCCAGTGAGACACCTCCCTCCTCCTCCTCTCTACTTTCTCCTCCTCTCTGTCCTCCTGTCCCTCTATCTCTGCCGCTTGCCCCCACCCCCATCTCTGATTCTCCATGTCCCCCACCTATAACATTGAGATAATTGTTTTTCTTTCAGGAGCCTCAGTTTTCCCTTCTGCAAAGGGGGGCAACTTTTATCCTAATGACATCACAGATAGGGAAATCCTTGGGTAGAAGGTGATATTGTTTATAAAATGTGCAAGATTTGAACAACTAGGACTGAGATGATAAATGAAAAGTTTCATCATGGTTGGAGGCGCCACAAGATCTGTGAGCCGCCTATGGCTCCCCTCAACCCCAGGGTCCTGCTGAGATTGGATCGGGTACACAGACAGGAGGTTTATTTCTGGCAGCCAGAGGAAACAGACTTCTCATTGCTAATTTCCTCCCCGGGAACCAGTCTGGCTTCAGCCCACCTGTGTCTGGTGGGCGCTGGGCCTGGAGCAGGGACTGCAGGTACACTCTGACAGACAACCTTCCCTTCTTCCAAGCCTGACATCTGCCTACCATTTACCCCCAACAGCACAGAGCCTTCTAGAATTCCAAAACACCAGCAGTCTATGTGACAATAGGGTCCAAAGCTATTTTGACCCCTTCCTGGTACAGATGGGGTAACTGAGGCACAGAGCAGCAAGGCAGTTGCCTGAGTCACAGGATGGGACGGAGCAGATCACCTCTGGCTCTTGAAGGAGTTCCCCTCTCCTGAATGTTTTTCTCTTCATTCCCTGTGCTCCAGCCATTTTCACCCATCTTTCTGGGGGTCTCAGACCCTTTTGAAAATATGCTGGAAGATAGGGAGCTTCTTGTCATTAGAAAAAAAACCAACAAGTGGCCGCAGTGTCTAGGGTGGCCCTCACCTGCCCGGTCCCAGGGTGATAACCCTCCTTAATTGAGAGCTTCTTAGCCTTTGTTGGGGTTCACAGGGCACAAAAAGCTCCCTCTAGCTCCTAGCTCCCCATGACCCCCACATGGATCCCTGCTGTCCCCTTCCAGAGCAGCAGGACAGATAAGCCCAAGCGTGGTGGTTCGATTTGGGGGGAGGGGATAAGAAAGACCAGCTTGGTCCCCCCCAGCCTCCCCTGCAGGTTTGATGCCAGGCTAGCTGCCAGCTACCCGCAAATCCAGCAACTCTCAGAATATGGAGCATTACGAGGACAAGAAGGAGTAATGCTGCCCCTCATTTTCCCTCACCCCTCAGCTCACTTACCAGCCTTGTCCCTGAAGTCACCAGGCTGCCCCCCCACCTTCCCTCCTCTATGGGTTCCTGCTTCCTCCTCCCCTAGCGGCCCCAGGGGACCGGGGCCAGCTCTGTTCTGCTCATTAGAAATGAAATGTGATCACCAAGCCTCGCTCCCCACCTGGTGTTCTGGCAGCTGGCGGAAACCAGGGGGC